AGTTTGCCTCTTTTAAATAATTTACACACAAAAAATCAAACAAATGCTAAATGTTCGTTTTTGCAGACTGATGTATTTTCAGTTCTAGTCTTATTGATGGTTGTTGTCATGAAAACTGTGACAAACACAACCAAAGATGTGGTCTTGTATTTAATACTCAAAATGCTTGCAGACAAATAAATTCTCACTTTACGGAAAGTGTAAACAGCTGTTTAAAAAAAAAAAAAATGAAGAAGAAGAAAGAAACTGTCCAGATGACCAGACTGAAAACTGTTGGATTGTATACCTGGATTATTGAGCATGGACTTTGTTGGTTTGGAACCAGTTTGACATGACTGTCGACGAAGGAGAGGGCGGTCACCAGAGGAGAGGCCCCAGAGACAATCTTAGCACCAACATAACTGGGTTTTTTTTTTCATTTTGGCATCAGCTTTTGGGGAAGAAGTGGTTTTGTTTGGCATTTCCTCAGACTGACTGATTAAGCCTTCTGGATGGAGGGCGAAACATTTCAGCACAAAAAAAAACAAAAAACTGTCCAGATGACCTGACTGAAAATTGTTGGATTTTATACCTGGATTATTGAGCATGAACTTTAGTGTAAACATCTGTAATTTTACATAATATTTGCATGCATTCAGTGGTCACCTGCCAGAAAACGAGCTTGGTTCTGAGTTTGTTCGTGTCACGACCGAGGTGTTGGATCCAGAAACGCAGACTAAAACGGGCAAATTGAATAAAATGAGCTAACTAAAAAGTGTATTAAAACTGAAAACAAAATTTTAGGGTGCCTGCAATAAATTTACATGAACAGAGGAATAGTCACAAGGAGACATGAGGAGAACCAGACATGGCAGGAAGCACCACGATGCTCAACTGATGAGTGAAGCTGAGGGACTGTAAGGACTGGGGCTGATGAGAAGAGAGGCTGCAGCTGCGACGGATGAAGCATGGATCAGGTGGAAGAGGCGTAGCAGGCTGACTGTGAAAACGGCTGATGGTACAGAGAAGAACACAGGTATATAGGAAAGGAACAAACCAAACACAAAGAAAACAGAAAATACAACAAACAGAGAGGAAAAAAACAGATCCTGACAGTCCCCTCGAGTTTCAGCCTTATGGGAAGCAGTGGCGAGTCTGGAGGAAATGTGATAATGATGTGACTTGAGGCCTAGTTTCTATTTTAGTTGGAAATTGGTTTGTCTAAATGGGGTGAGTCAGAGTCAGTGCAAAGAAAAGACAAAAAAATGAAGCGGAGAGTGAAAAAGATGGGAAAATATCACTGTTTCTTTGACTTAGAAGAAAAAAAACATTTTAACAGATCAGGGACTTTAGAAGTGTTCGAGAAAAAGATCTGCTGGGAGTGGAGTAATCTTGTGTAGCAAACAGCGTCTGCTTCGTATTCACCTCAGTCGTCCCTAAATTTATGGCTTAATCTGCTGGAGTGAAATAAAGTCAAGCAGATGTGAAGTTTTTTTCATCAGTTAGAGCTGGATATTCAGAGCTGTAGTCTCAGATGTTTACTGCCAGAAGGAGAGCGCTCCTGCCGGGGTCAAACTAAACTTTAGCACCGTGGAATTATGTAATCTGAGTTGAGATGGGTTTGAGGTTGTTGGAACAGACTGTTTTGAGAAGAAAAATAAAACTAGTCACAAAAATTATTTGACTCAAGATGAACTCTTGCGAATGTTTCAGGATATTTTAGAGATTCGTGCTCAAATGCCATTTTCCATCTGGTTTCCAAAAGTTGCAGCCGTGAGATACAGACCTAACAGCAGATAACCTGCTGAGCTCTACAATCTGAGGGCATGACCTTTGACTTTAGGTGTTTGAAAGACGGGCTCACAGAAAGAAGGCTGCAGGTTTAAAACCTAGCGTTTGCACGTTCTCCTGGTGCGTGCACGGGTTTCTCCAGTTTCCACCCACAGAACAAAACCATACATGTTAACTGACAGCTGTTGCCACCAGGTGTGAATGAGCGTGTGGAAGTTTTGTCTCCATGTGGACCTTGAAGGACTTGACCTGTCCAGGACGTTCCCTGCATCTCGTCCAATGACTTCTGGAGAAAGGCTCCAGGCACCAGATTGCAGAATAATTCTACTAAATCAACTTATTAATGTTAAAGCTCAGTGTTTGAACTATAATCCGACACATTATTTTCTCAGAAGGTGGACTTGGGAGGAAACGGGTATCTGATGGCTTAGGAGAGCAGCAGGTTGATGAGGTGAGAGAGCTTTCCAGTTGTGATGTCCATCTGAAGAGAATTGGTTTTAAGATGATGGCACAAGGCAAACTCAGGCTGGAGGACGAAGGTTAGTTTCAAACTTGAAGAACAAATTCTCATCGTAGACAACGTCTCGGCATCATCCTCTGGCAGCCTTGGTCCTTAAATAGAGCCTTAGTTTCATGTTTGGTGAGGAGTGGAACCCAGGGTGCAGACAAAACTCAAAAGACTCGGGTACAAATAAAAGTAGCTTATTAACGAAAACAAAATCAAAAACCTGACGAGGCAACACAAAAACTCAAACACTTCCCCATGGAAAAACACTGGACACTTGACTGGGACATACAGCGTAAAGTACAGACAGCAACAGAGAAGGACACCACAAGTTTTAAAGGGAAACTACTGAGGGAGAAATGACGACACCTGGGGAGAGACAATGAACAGGTGAGAGTGGGAGGGGCAGGAGCAGGAAGTAAGTGAGGGGAAAAACACTGGGAAAGCTGAAACTGGTCAAACAGCCTGAGAAAAAACTAAAACAGAAACCACTAGACTAAACACAGACAATTAGAGGGATGAGCCACAGCTGAGGAGAACAACTCTCTGCCACTGGGAGCTGCTAAAAGGTGATGTAATCAGAAACTACTGGAATCTCTACAAAATCCTAGAATTTTCCAACACGGCACTCGCTGCATTTTATCTCTCCATAAATCTGCCCCAAACATTAAAGTTATTTGCTTTGGTCCTGCAAAGAGTTGACGCCATTGAAGTACAAAGGTTTTGCAGCTGGAACTTGGTGCTTTGGTGGTCAAAAGAAAAGAAAAGAAGAAGAAAAACTGGTGATGGGCAAACCCTGATCAAAGTAGACAAACAAAGACTTCATTGACTCTCAGTCGTGAGGGCTGTGAGTTTAATCTGCAGGTGAATCTAACGTACCTACTGGAGCATGTCGTAGTTTAAAAGCACTGAACTTCACTTCCTGCAGAGTTTTTATTTGAGAAAGCTCTCCAGATGTGAAGCAAACAGAATGAAGGTCCAGTTGTTTTGTTTCTAATTATTTATGTCCTGGATGACTGAAAAGCTACACCAGCTTCTATTATATCTCTTTAAACCAGCTGCTAGGGAGCACAAGCCAGTGTATCTCTTGTCCCAAGACCAGGTAAATGGTGAGGGTTGTGTCAGGAAGGGCATCTGATGTAAAACACTTTTGCCAAAACTATAATGCAAGTTCATCAAAGTGAAACCATAACAGATTGGTCGAGGCCCGGGTTAACAATGTCTGCCACCGGTGCTGTTGACAAACAGGGTGCTGGTGGAAATTGTGCTACTGTTAGTCAAAGACCATGAGGAGGGAAACGTGTCAGGAGACCGAGGGAGAAGAGGAAAGTTAAGAATGTAGGACTGAGGGTTGCAACTCTAAATGTGGGGACAATGACAGGCAAAGGTAGAGAGCTGGCTGACATGATGCAGAGAAGGAAGGTAGATGTTTTATGTGTCCAAGAGACCAAGTGGAAGGGCAGCAAGGCTCGCAGCATTGAAGCAGGGTTCAAACTGTTTTACCATGGTGTGGATAGAAAGAGAAATGGAGTAAGGGTGGTCCTGAAGGAGGAGTTACCAAAGGAAGTAGTAGAGGTGAAACGAGTGTCAGATAGGGTGATGTGCCTGAAGGTAGAAGTAGAAGGTCTGATGCTGAACGTTGTCAGTGGTTATGCTCCACAGGTTGGATGTGATGTGGAGGAGAAAGATACATTTTGGAAGATCTGGATGAAGTGATAGAGAGCATTCCCAGGGAGGAAAGCGTGGTGATCGGAGCAGACCTGAATGGACATGTTGGTGAAGGAAACCGAGGGGATGAGGAAGTGATGGGAAGGTTTGGTGTCAAGGAAAGAAACCAGGAAGGACAGATGGTGGTGGATTTCACCAAGAGAATGGAAATGGCTGTAGTCAACACTTATTTCCAAAAGAGGGAGGAACATAGAGTGATCTATGAGTGACATATTATATTCCTTTAGATAGGACAAACAAACTGTTTTCATCCTTATTGGATGAAAAATAGTTGAGAAAATGAAAACCTTCAGTAACCCTGTGTGAACCTTATTAGAAGTATAGGTGAGGGTATTTACACACTGCACAAGCAGCTCCATAAAGGCTTCCATCAACAGCTGATGACACCAGACGTTATCAGTGCTGCCAATGCCCTTAAAGTGGGCCAAAGAGAGAGAGAGAGCAATCTGTGTGTCCCATGATTCCTGGTGAGCTGTGAAGAAAAGCCAAGCAGAGCTGGCTTCACGTCCGACACACAAACACACACCTTCACACCTTCCTTGCATGTCCAAACCCAGGATCTAATTATTCCTGTTAATCACCAGGGGCTCGCGCTGACTCATTGTGGAAACGGACACACAAGCAACACACGTCCCTGACGCTCCCCTTACAGTAGAACCACACAACACATGCGCACACTCCCTCACACAAGTGCTCTCCAAGCAGCACGCTCTCACTTCAGCTTTTTACAGGATATTGTGAAATCAGTGCCGTTGCTGAAACTCAGTGAGGGTTGCTGGGTGTCCTTTCTCTCACCCACTCCACCTCACACACACACGCACATTGTCATGCACAGAGCTGAAGCTCACTCAGCTCAGTTCCAGTCGTGTGAGGAGCCTGCCGGTGATCGGAGTGACGCCTGAAGCAAAGAGGCCGGGGCCGGGCGTTGATTCGATTTTACAGGCCAGTCACTTTCTGCTAACCTCCGCATCATCAGCCCGGGGGGAGGAGGACGACTATGGCCATGACGGACATCGCAGAGGATGACCTGGATGAGACGATGCGTGAGGAAGCGGAGGATGTCTTCTATGAGGACGGTAGGGTTGCCAAGTTTGTCAATGTTGGGATAAGGTGTGCGTTGGCAGCTGCTCGGGGTCATACTGGGTCGTTTGTGACTTGAAGTTGTTGAGGTGAAGACAAGGGTCAAAGTGATGGTTGAACGGTGGCCCCCGGGGGGGCGGGTCCCCCAGCTGTGCAGGTGTGGTTGACTTCTGCATGGTTGAGCAGGTTCCAACACAAACAGATGTGATCAACAAAAAGTATTCTATTTTATTATATGAAGAGCTACTATTCTATATTATCTGGTCATTACATGCAATCATCATCATTTTTATTAGTTTAGTATTCTGATGCTTTTTTTGTGTCCTGCTTCTCTCTGCAGGAGTTTAGAGATTTTTTTTTTTTTTACGGAACCCTTTTTAGACAGCAGAGAGGAGCCATGCCCTCTGCCGTGTGGGTGTTCTTGTATAACAGGCAGATGTTTTTAACCAAGCATTATGCACCAAAAAAAAAAAAAAATCAACTTTCTGTGAGCGTTTGCAGTCAGCTGGACTCTGGAAGAGATGTAGTCAGTAAAAATGGAGAAGCAATTCAAAAAACAAAATGTTTTGGTCCCCTTCTTTTGTCTTTATTGTCCACTGATACCAATTTCTAATTGCAGTAGGTAAAAAATAAAATACTACTATATTTATATTACCTAAACTCTTTGTTACGTAGAACACCGCGCCTTTCTTTGGCTGCACGTTTGGTGTTTCAATGTGAATGTTAACTTTTGGATAAGTTGCAAACGAAGCTTTCGTGTCGTATGATTTAATAACCGGTCTGGCCACTCGTGCATGTTAGCGCACATGAACTGTGTGCAACAAGAGGACTTGAGAAAAATGTCATCAGTGCTCGAGTTTTGCAAAGAGAAAGGAATCCACGAGTTCTGATCCAGCTGATCCTGAACTGAAACTCTGCTACTTCGAAAAACAAGCTCATCAACCTTTATAAAGCTTTTATAACTTCTGTAAGAGAAATTATATTGTATTTGATGAAAACTGCTCATTTCATGCTCAGCTACACAAATCACTTGGTGGTAGCATTGATCTATTCATGTAGCTCTCAGGAAATAAATAATATTTATCTGATCCTCTTCCTCCCATTGAAACAGACAATCCATTATACCTCTTTTAGCTCCATTTCACAGTTTTGCTTTGGTGTGAATTGCTTTTCTCAAACTCACAAGTCTTTTTTTAACAACACTCAACATGTGCTATGTTGTGTTTATATATATATATATATATATATATATATATATATATATATATATAT